TTAATTCGAAACAACAAATTGACAAAGAAGGCTACATCAGTTGTGATTTGTTGCATGACAAGTGGGTATAATGAAGAGAACGTGATCCTTAACATATTTTGGCCTCGAAGATTATTAAAAGTGAGTCGTTAAGCCCATTGCAAGTACCTGAAACCCAAATCACTATCTTCTTCCTTGCCAGTCACCGCTATCATATGCTTCTTCCCACTATCCTATGCTTCTTCTTACCCACACAGTAAAACCCAAAACCTAGCACGACCCAAAATACATAATCAAGGACCACCTTTCAAGACAGGGTGAAGCAAGGATTCCAAATTCGAAGGGGCCATCAAGTCACTCAAAATAGCGTTTAACCAAAACGTGTTCACTAATATCTCATTCATTATAAATAACAAGACTACCAAAGATAGAGCCATCACTCTTTTCTTTTTTGGTAGGTTAGTCACTCACTTCATGGCATAAAAAACTCATTCACTACCTGCCATAACGACTATGAGAGTCTGAACCACATGAATCATATAATCAACAAATCAAAGTCAGTTGACTTCCCATAGCATTCCAAACCACGATATAGTGGAAGAAAGCTCGAAAGTTTGGAGTCATCGCCGTTGGTTCTTCGTTCTGTCATCACCGGCGTTGATTCTGCATCCTCTATTTGGTAAGCTAACATTTTGGATGCTTTGAGTGAAATCTCTGAAACCATGCTTTTAGTGACATAGATGCACAATATGATAGGTTCACTAAATCATGATGTTTAAAAGCATCAACATAAAAGATATTCAACTGAATTTTCAATCTATAAATTTACTTGCTGAAAAAACGAAAGGGTAATACTTTTTTAAAGATTACGTATAATATTAATGTCGACGCCATATTAACATTTAACAGAAAGAAACCATCAACTTGAAACTAATATAACAAAATTCGATTTTATAATAGAAATTTCAATACCACACTAATTGCTATAACATTTAACAAAAAGAAACCATCAACTTGAAACTAATAAAACAAAATTCAATTCTATAATAAAAATTTCAATCCCACACTAATTGCTAGTAATCAGTTCACAATTAAATAATTGGGCACACTATTGTTTTAGCCATGTAAAACAAAAACAAAAATTAACTCTCTATTTAACAAAAACAAAAACAAAATTAACTCTCTATTTAACAAAAACAAAAATTAACTCTCAAATAGAGCGCATTATTGTTTTAGCCATGTAAAACAAAAATACTGAGTGGTTACCAGTAATCGAACCAGGACCTCAGGATTGCAAACTAAAGTCCACACCAATGATCTATTTGCTCTTTTGTGTTTCATTCTTGCCAATGATTAATATTATTATTTTTAATTTGTTCATAAATTTCAGGGCGCTCAACGTCGCTGCACTGTCTTCGTCCCTGTTGCCAGAAATCTGGCTATTCTTCCCCAAATCCAGAAATCGAACGACCAGGCATCGCCATAAACTCTCCTTCATATAGTTGCATCGTCGAATTCAATCTTCGTCGGGGTTGTGGGGTGGGTGGGGTGGGTGAGTGGGGGGGGGGATGAAGAGGCCGACGGCGATTAGAGAGGATTTCGATCCAGACATATGCAGGGGAAGAATAGCGGCGATTAGAGAGGATTTCGATTCAGACATATGCAGGGGAAGAATAGCACCAGGAAAGAGAACGAGTGGAAGAGGGAAGAGCGGAGCTCGACGAATTCGTCGCCCCCGGAACCGCTGGGTTCTTGCTACCAGTCGATGACCTTCGATCGCATCCGACGCGGAGTGTCGACTTCAGTGGCGGAGGCCCGAACTAAGAACGCGCTGCTCTTGAGCGGAGCTGGAGTCGCCGCCGGATCATGAAATCCCTCCGGGACCCGACAGTACCTGCACGAAATTGGCGATCGAGATTGCTCTAGACGATTGAGTACTTCAAGACAAGGTCCAGCCAGTACAGCTCACATATACAAACTAAAGAGACAGCCGGATGGAGGATGTGATGAATCATGTAAAAACCTCACTCTCACCTCTGCTGAAAAGGATGAAGGAGATGGAGATGAGATGAATGAAGATAGAATAACGACAAACTGGGTTCTAAATTGTAGTCGTAGGAGCAGACGAGCAGTGGTTTTAGTTGTAGATAATTCTAAAGTTTAGGTGTTATAAACTAATGATTTGGAGAAAAGAGTACTATGATTCATATAATTACAAGTTAAAGGATTAATTTGAGTGTAATGCACGATAAAAATTGATATGAGACTAAAATGTATACAAGAATAATTGAGTGAGTATGATTGTAATTATATTTATTACTAATAATTAATTGATTATAATTAAATTAAAAATAATTAGTAATTAATTAATAGGTGTGAACGCAGACGTACGCCATACACCAGGTGTACGCTAGCCTTTGCCATATATATATATATATATTATTTATATATGGTTCAGGCTAACGTACACCCGGGCGTACGCTAACCTAGCGTACGCCCCATTGAGTTTTGCTATATAGATCATGAATTAATGGGAGTTTGTGGCATGATACTATACCCTAACCTCTAATGGGTGAACCCCAGTCCCTAATTTTCTAACCCAAACCATGAGGTTCGTTTAATCTTAAAATGAAAACCAATGAAAATTTCGACGAATCAGAATCGTTGATTTTCATTTTTAAGATTAAACGAATCTCGTGCTTTGGGTTAGTGAATTGGGGATTGGGATTCACCAATTAGGGGTTAGGGTATAGTATCATGTCCCAAACTCCGATTAATTCTTTGTCTAAATAGCAAAACTCAATGGGGCGTACGGTAGGCTAGCGTACGCCCGGACGTACGCTAGCCTTTGCCATATATATATGTCTTAGACTAATATCCGGCTACACAGCCAAAATATCCACACATCGCGCACTAATATCCTCCAATCACATAATAATATCTTATCACCACAGACAAAAATCGACCACCCTACATTGTGTTCAAAATCATTTCCACAATATTGTCTTCTAAACCTGAAACCCTAATCGCTAAACACTAAATCCTTAACCCTAAATCCTAATCGCTAAACCGTAAATTGGTGTAATATGGTTGGCTAAGTGCGTGATGCTAGATGCTTAAATAAACAAAGGATCACATCGGAATAGTTATCAAAAGTGCCCCAATATCCGCACCACCCAGACTAATATTCGTTCCTAACATAATAAATATCCTCACAAACTCTAACTAATATCCACCGCTCACAGATTAATATATGTCTGTCTTAGACTAATATCCTGCTACATAGCCAAAATATCCACACATCGTGAACTAATATGCTCCAATCACATAATAATATCTTATCACCACAGACAAAAATCGACCACCCTACATTGTGTTCAAACCATTTCCAGAATATTGCCTTCTAAACCCGAAATAAAAAAACTCGAACCCTATACATGAAACCCTAATCGTAAACACTAAACACTCACGCTCTTACTATTATCGTTTCATGGGCCTTCAGCCCATGGGCCCTCGGCGGGCAACCCTAACTAAGGTTGCAAGTATGTGTTAGGACTTGATAGTGTGTTTAGTTTTGATGGAAGACACAATATCTATCGCATATAATATTAGTTCATGCAAAAATTTGTTTGTCGATTGCCCAAACTAAAATGTAAACCCAAACCTTAAACTCTAAATCGTAAACCCGAACCCTAAAACCTAAACTCTAAATTGGTATAATCAGTTTCGGGTGGTTGGTTATATCGAGGTTTGGTAAACATTAGTTGAATGATGGATATTGGTTTGCGAAGAAAGAATACTAGTTTATTTCAACTATGATACAAAGCAATATCAACACAACACATATTAATATCGGATGAAAACAAATAAATATCCACACAAACAAACATACATAAATATTACATGGATAAGCGGGCCCACAATCTTCGTTCTCTCTCTCCATTCCTCTCCAAAAATCCCAACCAAACTGAAGCGGGCCCACAAAGCTGCTTCTTCGGCGCGTCCTCCAAGTCGCAGGATGGGCCGACTTCTACCCACAAGCACATCACTGCCTCTCTCCTCCGTTGGATCTTACATGGCCCGACGTGACATCATATCTGGTCGTATTAGTATCTGCTAACGGATTTGTGAGTTAGCAGATTAATTTTTTTCCACACAAACTTTCTTCTTCTGGCCCAGTGGCGGCATATTTGACCAGAGTCTGGGTCACCACTCACCAGTAGGGATGACAATCAAACCCATGGCCGCAGGTACCCGACCGCTCCCGACCCAGTCAAAGCGGGGATGGGGCGGGTATGGTTTTAGCCTCCCCGCCCCATACCCATACCCTCCCCACCAAAAGAATTTCTTCACACATAAAAAAATATGTGGATCAAATTGTAATCTATCAATGAAGACGAGGATAACTCGAGAAAGTAAATAGTAGAAATGCAATTGAGTGACCACCCTAATCAAAATATAATTCATTTCCCTCAATTCTCTTTTCACTCTTTCACTTTCACCCTTGTCAACCAGATTATGTTAGTTAATTATTACTTAGTAGATGTATCACAGTTAGAGCATAATAATTTGAAAATATTGTACTCTATATTATGTATTAATGGATGTTTTAGGATCATATTCTTTGAATCGTATTAAGAAAATGACCGTATTTTGTTGACTTCGTGATATAATAGGTTCGTTTAGAGTTATAATTAACATTTTCTTGTAAGTTTTAGGTATAATAATATTGGATGTACAGGAACGGGTATTACCCATGGGTACCCGAAACCCACGAGTATGGGGATGAGTTTGCAAAACATTCCTCGATGAGTATGAAGCGGGTTTGGGTATTCAAATATAGGGATGAGATCCCAAACCCGCCCCATTGCCATGGCTACTCAGTACTCACCAATGCGTCTAGCAAAATCTCCCACGCGCCCACCGGTTGACCGGAACGGCGGGTAGCAACAAAAAAAACCCGTCACTGTATTATTTATTTTCTAATTTTATTCCTCCGTTATTTTCCCTCTTGGTTCAGTGAGCGCAACAGTTGCTCTTCTTCCACCACCAAGTCAGGCGCGGTTCTTCCTCTCTTTGCTCCCCACGGCGACTTCGTTACCACCGGAGCCGTGAAGCCGATACGGGTGTGGCGTTCAATCAGTTATCACGCCGTCTCGCTTTCTCTCTGGCTGTCGCTCACCGTTTTTTGACGGAAGAAATTACGAGAGCGGAAACGGTCCGGCAGCCTCTGAATTTTCCTTTTTAATGGAGAACTCAGAATCCGATGAGCCAGACAAGAAGCGGCCTCATCTCGATTCTCCTGTTTCGCCCGCCATGTCTCGTAATCACGCCAGTTCTCCGACCAAGAATCAAACCGTACTTTCTCCCCGCTCTCCTTTTTCTATTATTTCGGTCCTCGCACTGGTTGCCGTGTTTCTGTTTGGTTGCAGCGAGGGGTAGGGATTGATAGTGTTTTTTCGAAAAGGCTTTTTTTTGCAATTGCGTCGCTTGCCTATACTTAACTTTGTGTGATGAGTATACGGAACTTAGTTGATGGTTAGGTTAACTGTAAGTGGTTTTTCGCAATTCCTACTGTGTCTTCCTGTTCATTTCGCACTCTCTCGTTGGTGAAATTGAGTTTCAGTTGAGAGCTGATTGAGGTGGAGAGGAGGCTAGGGGCTTAGTCGTAGACTCTAGTCTGAGTGAGGTAGGCGAATATGTCCGTCTTGATTGGGTTTGGTGGCTATTATCCAACTTACCTGAGCTTGCTTTCTAGAATTGGTCGAATTGGTGTTGGGGTAGGCACAAATGAAACTCTGAATTGGCCCATTATGAATCGGGATGTGCTGCTTGTACTCAAAGATCATCTATCATTATTCATATATACGACATGGTTTGTACTCATCAAGGATGCTCTTGTATATATCCTCTGTTTATGCACATGATTTATATGCGTCGTGGAGGTTTTTCAGCTGTGAGGAAGTGTTCTCAGGTTGGGTTTTCTATTCAGGTTGATGTTATGGTTCTCCATCACCAGAATCAAAAGCTTGTTCAACAATTGGATCTCCAAAAGCGCGAATTGCGTGATCTAGAAGCCAAGATTGCAGAACTGAAAGGTAATCAGGCTTCATATGATGAGATTCTCATCACAACAAATCAAGTGTGGAATCAGGTTGGTGGGTGGAGCTTGTTTCTCTCTCTCACCTTATCTCTTTGGTTTCTCGTACTTTTCTTTCAATATTCTCTCTGTTGAGGGTATTTCCTGCTTCCTATCTTTGATTTGTATACTTCCTGCAGTTGGTCGACGATTTGGTTCTACTTAGTGCACGAGCTGGTGGTGGCCCGAATGTGCTACAAACTTTCGATGATGCAGATTATTCTCGAGGTATCGGTCAGCTTTTGTTCTTACCATAATTGTAATGCCACTATCCTCAACTCTTCTGAAGTGCTTATTTCCGGTTTCTTTCTCCTGTTGCATCTTATATTTTGTGTGGTACAATCTTTTTGGTACACTTTTTAGGTTCGGTTCCATCTTGTCCTGCTGAGGAAGTGTTTCTTTGTAGACTTCTGGGGAAGGATTCACTTCAAAACCGTCAAAATGATGGAATTGCTGAATATACCAATGAAATGCTTGCTTCACGCCTTTCCTCCAGTATAGGGTTGATGGAGTCTTTGGAATCCATTATTGATACTCAGAGGACGGAGACTGTGAGCATAAGACAGGCTTTTGAAGGAAAGCTATCCGCAGAAGGTCAGATCAACAGATCTAGGCATTTGTCTCAAACTTTAAGATCTTATGTTGGATCTGCTGAGTTGTGGACGAACTTTTTGATTCCTTAGTTGTAACTGATTTTTTTCATCTTCAGATGCCATCATTCAGTTGTCGAGGCTTGATGATATGATGAGAGAAGAAGCACGGAATCTGCAGGAGGTGATTGATATTCTCCACGTAAAGCATAAAGAATACATGGAGGGAATTGAGAATTACACAAGCATGCATTCAACAGAACAATCTGAAATTTCACGCCTTGCAGGTTTCTTATATGATTCATTTATATTTGCTATACATAACACAGTGACTTCGACTTTATGGGGATTGTGCTACTCACAGAGTATATCACTCCGCCAGCATTGCTGTTTGTGGCATAAGTTAGATTGGTCATCTTGCTAATAGGTTTAATTGTAACATATTGTATTTCTTTAAAAGGTGAGCTGGAAGAATGTATGGCTGAACTAGAAGACAGCAGAAGAAAGTTGATCAATCTGGAGATGCAAAAAGATACTGATGCTGAAATACATGGTCCAATTCCAAGTGCTGCAAATGGAAGCCTGTCCCCAGAGAAGTCTTCTGATAGATCTAAGGGATTGCGAGAGTTGCGAGATTCCATAGAGGAAATTAAGGTACTGAGCCATGCTAAAGCCTTTTATGCCTGCTTACATTCTATTGTTCAATTGCTAAGTGTGTTGTCCTGAAATTTAAGTTGCTAGCTGCTGCCCGTCTTTCTGAGCTTCAAGATGCACAAGAAGAAAATCAGATCTTATCAAAAGATTTGGAAGTTCTTCAGGTATTGTAGTTTGTGCACTTAGACTGCATGGTCTTTCCAATTTTCTGAAGTACTAGTTCAATTTTGTCTGTCTAAGCGTCTAATCGTCCAAGTGGATATTCATAGAATGACCTGAAGGATGATAAACATATCTACTCATCTCGTCTCTACAACTTAGTGAACGATCAGCTTCAACACTGGAATGCTGAAGTGGAGCGGTATAAAGTTCTGCTCGAGGCTTTGCAGGTTATGAGCTTCTTTTTCTGTGAACATGCTTGCATACATATATTGTTGGTTCAGTCTGTTAAACAGATTACTTCAGGCTGATAGGTCTTCAATTGTCAGAAGGGAGAAGGAAGTAAGTATAAAATTGGAGTCAGCTGACTTTGCCAGGAATTCAATAGCCAGTGACAATTCTGGAATTGAAGAGCTCGAAGCTCAGCTGCAAAAGTGTAAGATTGAAAAGAATGATCTTGAGATTAAAGCGGAAGAAGCTGTCCAAGATTCTGGTAAGTAAAATTAATTGTACTATACTTAGAGTTGTCTCTCGTAGCTGTTTTTGTCACTTACTGAACCAATTTTTTAATTAGGGAGAAAGGATATTAAAGCAGAGTTCCGTGTTATGGCCTCTGCATTATCCAAGGAAATGAGTATGATGGAAGTTCAATTGAATCGATGGAAGCAAACAGCAGATGAAGCACTTGCCTTGCAAGAAAAATCCCGATCATTGAAAGCTTTGTTGATTGAAAAGGTTTGTAACTCCGCATGCTTCCATGTGTTGGTTGTATATGTAGAATTGGGTGAAAAGAATTCAGAATTGATGAGACAGTGACTTAAGCAATTTAACATGTATCCTGCATTGGTTTTGTATTGAAATCTATTATACGATCTCATTGTTAGTATTTATGGGTTTATATTAACAAGGCACGTTGAAATTGTGATTGAACTAACTAAAGAACATAAGATTTTGAGTTTATCTTTCATCTGGCTATGCTCATAAAAGTAGTAATTTTTGCTTCAGAAATTAAGATGTTTTCTCATCCGTGTTAAACTGCTGTCGAATTGGCATTGGAAATAAAAATAATTTTCGTGCACGACCTTGTGGAAAAAGAGAACCAGTAGATAACTAGGCCATGGAATGCATGAGTTGTTTATTGGTTGGACATGTTCCTTATAATGTTCTTACTTAGTATTCTGCCTTTTTGGTTTGATTCCTTGTTTGTGTTCGGTAAACTGATCTTCTTTGTATTTGTTATTTGAACATAGTTATGAATTCCGTTTTTCATTTACATTGTCCCTTTTATTTCCAATGTAGACGAATGAACAAGACAGCTTGGCAGGAAAGTGTGCTGAACAAGTGATAGAAATCAAAACATTGAAGACTCAGGTATGCTTACAGCTTGGTATGTTATTCATCCTGTGGTAGTGCTCTGGTGTTTATCTTTCAACTGATTATGTCTAGATCTTGTTCAGTAGTTTGTAGCCAACTTCTACTCCAATGAGGTTTTGTTAATCTAATGCTTTAAATACTCATCTGAGCCTCCACTTAACCTGAAAAATTCTGTTGGCAAAGTATTGTTGCCTACAATAATGCGAAGAAGGACTTTGAGGCTTGAATTTGACTGGCACCTCCTTTAATTGTTAAAAGTTTGAAGGATAGGTTATCCTTGGTATAAATCTGTATGAAATGACATTCGTTAACAGGCTTTGTGCAGCAAGGTTTTAACATCTTCCCATATTGACAAAATAGACATTAAGTGCTCTTGCTTTATTTATTGGCGAGACAACTTCAATTGGGGATTAGGATGACTGCTGTCACTGAAATGTCAGAGTGCATGGTTCATGGTGGTAAACTTTTTTACTTAAGATTTCCTGTAAAAGATGGAAACGCAAAAGCTTAATGGATTTAGGGGTGGTGGGGGGTTATTAGTTGGTTAACCATGTGAAGTTAATGCCCATTAACCCATTTGGATAAAAAACAGTACCACTGGTGCAGCTTTCCTTGTAAAGTTGTAATATCGTCGGTGACATGTATCAGATTGTGGTCAACCTTTTCTGGCACCATCTTGAAATGGAAGTACAAAAACTTGAATTGTGATGGAGCAGACCATCAATTAGTGACCAGATAAACAACTTATAATTAATAGTCTTGTCCAGACAACAGCGGGGTGGGGCTGCGTCTCTTACATTTTGATTGTCTGGTCCGGACAGCAACATTTTTCTCTCTTCTTTGTGACAGGCAGCATGTAGCTTTACCATCTCATGGAATTAGTAGCAGGAAAATTCTGTTTTTGAGCACACTCTTTAAAAACCAATTGGATACTGGGCCACGGAAGGAATACCTTCAATCATATGTCTCCTTGGCAGAAAATTCCATGGGTTCGCCAGAATGAGTAATGAAGATAAATAATTTGCAGGTTGAAAGTTTGCAGAAGGAGAAACTGGAGCTGCAGACGATATTGGATATGTATGGGCAGGAAGGCTCTGATAATAGGTATGCTTCGTGTCTGTGACTCTGACAACTGGTTGCCTCTTCGTTTATTGTATTTGTCTCTATTGTCAGAGAAACATTTGGGATTCAGGATTAGGTTTGGCTTTTTTTCTGAATAGGAGAGTTTACATGGTGAAATGACTTGAACTTAAAATGTTGTTAGTTAGTTTGAAGTATCCAATTTCCTCATACTTTTCATACCATAATGCTTCTTAGATCCTTCATATGTTGTTAATGCTTTATAGTTCCTAGGGATGCTCTAATAAATATAAAAAAATAACAATAACAATACTGGTTGGGAGAAATATGTCTGATCAGATTTCCATTTTCTAAGCTCATTGTCATCTTTAATGAGTGGGTTAACGATGTTCCAGTTTCCTTTTGAACCAATAATTGATAATTATTAAAAATTTAGCATTCCAGGGCATTGTTATCGACTCCTTGGAAGTATGTAGTCAAAATATCGCGATTTAAAACTTAAAAACTTACGATTTTACGTTTTTAGGTCACTAAAACGCTTCTACACAAAATCTCAGTTTTTATAATTTATGTAGTTAAAAACTCCGTTTTAAAACTTAAAAACTTACGATATTACGCTTCTAGATCACCAAAACGTTTCTACGTAGAAACTCGCTTTTGACTACATTGCTTGACACTATTCACGTTCGTGATTTATTGATTTAAATAGCTAACAATGTATCAGTTGGCTGTTTGGAGTTCATCCTTTCTCGTGCTTTTGGAGAGGTACAAAGCGAGATATATCGTTTTGTACTCTGTGGGCTGTATGGATTATTGCTTTTCTTGGATTAGAATTATGTTGGGCTTGTATGATTATCAACACTGGTCAAAAATTGAATTCTCAACTCCATGCAAGTATTCTTTCCTATCTGGAAAGTTATTTACGAGTTGGAACTGCTTAGATGAGACGTTAAGCACCTATTTCAATTCATTTTCGAATTAGTGGAACCTGAATGAAGATAAGATCAATTCGAAAAACAAAACCAGGGAAAAAGTCACATATTCTTAGTGACAAATACAGAAAACGAAAATAAAAGTATGAGTTGGTCATCTTTTCACCCCAACTTAAACTTGTTTGTCAACTATTCTGTTTTAGTACAGATTCTTCTGGTTTCTTTTCTTCTTGGTACCGGATACTTTTGGTCCCATTGCCCCTATTTTTTTGGTTGACTCTCTTTAGCTTGGGAAGGCAACGACGAGAAAATGGGTTGCTGAGATATTGAAACTCTTTTTTGCCAGCGCTAATTTCTTGGTTGCAGTCTCATTCAAGATGTTGTTTGTTTCTATGCCATGAAGAAGTCACCTTTGTGTTTACAACTTAATTATACATTCCTGTAGTAGTTGTAATTTGACTTTGTGCAGAGACATCAACGAAATCAAAGAATCCACGCGGAGGGCTCTTTCTCAAGTTGAAGCCTTAAGGAGTGCCTTAGATGAACATCCTCTTCAGTTGAGAGTTAAAGCGGCTAATGAGGCTGAGATGGCGTGCCAACAAAGACTTACTGCTGCTGAAGCTGAAATTTCCGAATTAAGGGCCAAATTGGATGCTTCTAAAAGGTTCGTTTCTGATTTATGGATTAGCTTTCCACTGGATGCTATAGCTTCTAGTAGGAAGTTGCTCTGGAAATGTTGTGAGTGGCTGGACAAAATACTTTTGCATGCTTTAATTGTTCGTTTAGTGCTATAACACATTTCACAATTTGTCTAACGCTCTTTGATTTCTGCTGACATTTGTCACTGTTTCTAGAACCAATAGGCATGAAATTTTTGCTTGACTGTTGATACAGAGATGTAATGGAGCTCAATGAAGCAATTGCTATCAAAGAGAAGGATGCCGAGGCATTTATTTCTGAAATTGAGGTCAGTTGATTAAGGTGTATTTATCTCCTTCTACGTTGCTCCTGGATTGATATATGCCCCAAGCATCGCCTGTTAATATCTCCCTCCCCTCCTTGTTAATACCAAATTTATTCACGGATCCAGACTGTTGGTCAAGCCTATGAAGATATGCAGACGCAGAACCAGCATCTACTGCAACAAGTTACTGAAAGAGATGACTACAATATCAAGGTTTACTTTGTTGTTCACCATTCATAGGTTTTTTTGTCCACATTAGAAATCTTTTTATTTTTTTAATCTAGGTGGCATGAGAAATATGTTTATGATAACAGTCAATGTCCACCCATCTATACTCACTACTATTTTTCTAATTCATGCAGCTCGTTTCTGATAGTGTGAAGACAAAGCAGGCCCACGGCATTTTGGTAGCTGAGAAACAGGCCCTGACAAAGCAACTTCAACAGTTAAATGCATCAATAGAACAAGTGAAAACGAGGATCGCCCATAGTGAGGAACAAGTAAGTCTCCCTCCCTGTCTCCCATTTTCGCCAATCATGTGCTCTGCATGAGCATTGGAATTTTCTGCATCTCCAGTAAGATCGACTTTTTGCAGATGAAAACATGTTTTGCTGATGCAATCCGGTATACTGAAGAAGAAAGACATCTAGCAGTCACTCTCGAGATGGCTCGGTGGGAACTAACAGATGCTGAGAAGGAACAGAAATGGATCAAATATGCTATTGCTTCTTCTGAAAAGGAATATGAGCAGATCCAAAAGAAGTCGGACGAAGTAAGAACAGAGCTGGAGAATGAAAGGTTTGTTTTTCTTTTTCTTCCCACCTCTGTTACTCGTATAGTAATAGTGCTTCGGCATGGTCATAACTCATAACTCCAGAAACAAGTGATTTACAGTTAATAGGATAAAAAATATACGGAAATCCATTTTGTGCTCCATAATATACCAGTGGTTGCTCTATTGCTCCTGTACCCGTCACCTTTATTTAGGCTGTGTTTGTTTCCACTTTTGCTACTAATGATAAAAGGTGGCCAAGAAAAAGATGTTACGGAAGGTGTATTTGATTGGGTTCTTACAAAAAATCGAGTTGATGCGTTATGAATTTAGGCTTTTAGCTTTTAATGGAACCTTTTTCAGGTTACTTCTTTGTTTAGCTAAAACAACCAAGCCATATATGTTCCCCTCCTTACTTGTTTCCTCTGAACAACACATATGATGATTGAACTCACAATATTGGTGAACCAGATATGAGAGGCAGAAAGTGGAGGAAGAGCTGTTGGAGCTGAACAATCAGATTGCCGAGTTGATTTCAGAGACCAGTGAAGCTGCTATAGAAAGACTCCAGGATGAAATTAATGACTGCAAAAGGATTCTCAAGTGCAGTGTATGCTCGGATCGGCCCAAGGAAGTAAGTGTATTTTGCCAGCTGAATATATATTATAGCTTCATTTGAACTTGACAGGGATAGAACATGATCTGGGTTCTGGTTTTTGGTTTCTCTCAATATTCACAGGTTGTGATCGTGAAATGTTACCACCTGTTCTGCAATCCGTGCATCCAAAGAAATCTGGAGTTACGGCATCGCAAGTGCCCTGGGTGCGGAACAGCCTTCGGTCAGAGCGATGTACGGTTCGTAAAGATATGAACAGGCGTCGGTCGATGGTTTGGCACATGAGCTTTGTTTTGTTTGTTTGTTTATTTATGTCACAGGCGAAATATGAATATAGTATGTAGGTGTTATGTTGTAGGCAAGTGAAATTATCGACCTTGGGCAGTAGTATCGATAGGTTAGCGTACCCTTTTGCCTGGTCGGAATGGGTTAAGATGGCACAGATTACTGGCAGGTAGACTGATGATGTTTCTCTTATGGTAGGAACATAAAAATTTGCATGTCAAATTCGTGATACCAGCTTTCTCGATCATGCCTGCCTAACATGGAGAGGTTCATGTGGCCGTCAAGATGATATCCGAATAGTCCCGCGTTTTATTCCAACTTGAGCGTACCAATGTCCTGTTGTAATGTGTACGTAGGCGTAGCAAATGGGTTTGTGCCATCATAAACTGATGATTTTAAACTTAAATTGGTGAATTTTAGGGGTGTGCAATGGTTGATTCGAAGTGCACCGGATCGAACCAACGCCTTGAATAGACTATAGTGTAATAAATATAATATGATCTGGTCTTTGGTCCTGTGAATTCTTTAAATTATGAAGAAAAATGAACCGAATTGACATTTAGATTAGACCAAATTGGACATAATGCATTATTGGTTCGGTCTTTGGTTCTAAGGTGGTTCATAATTGGACAGCGGTTCTCATGAGTTTGGTCTAATCTCGACCGGACGGTTGCATCCTCATTCTTAGACATTGAGGGGTGTTTTTGAGAAAATGAATTGAATTATGGAGTCACTGAAATTCATAGATTCATTAAATTCATAGATTTAGCAGAAAGTTACTTTTTTTTTTCCTGTTTTAGTATTATGTATTTTAGATTCGGGAAGTTCAAATCTCTAAAATTTAGAAATATAAAATCTCTCATCTTTCGAGAGATTATATATCTTTGATTTTTTTCCTTCCATTTTATCTATTCCTTTTTTATTTTTTTCATTAAATACCTTTGGCAATAATCTCAATATTTCTAGCCATTTTGATTCTTAGTTAAGCATAAATTTGACATTTGATAAAAACAAATAAAATATTTTATTTTTAATTAAATGTTACAATAGCAGCTAACATTTTTAAATATGTTTCAACAACAATATATTAATTATGATTTTTTGAATGATTCAAAATCTAGACATTTAGACTCTAATTCTCGAAACAACCATATCAAGCAATATGAAATCTGTATTTTGCTGCCACTTGCACTTCCTTGTATTGGAATTCGCAAATTTGTAGAAATGGTTCACTGAATGTAGACCAAAATGTAATGAAGCTTAGCCTACCGACGGCTGGCCTCCGAAATCCGTTAGTGATCCGCTGAGGTAAAACAACCAACTGATATGGTGCGTCACTTGCGAGAAGATGAGATGGCTACGGCACACATTCTTTGAGGTTGGTTGATTCAGTAGCCAAGAAGACAGAAATTATTAGTTTTGGAAGCTAAAGATTATAAGGTGGCGGTAACCCTTATTTTAATTCTAAAGATTAAAAAAAAATTGACGAACAAACCGTTGATATGGTAGCTACGAAATATTTTCCAATTTAGTCTCAATTCGTTAACGAGAAAAATAATCTATTGTCTATGTTAACGACCAATCAAAAGAGTCCGACTATAGTTGTGATTTGATTTGAAAATTTGAACATACCATCATTTTATTTGAAAGCTCAGGTTTGTAGTTATCTTAGGTTTTCTGAGTTAGGCCAAAATGCAAAGTGCATGCCATAACTTAAAAGAAAGAAAAAAGAACATTTATGCTTGGAAACACAAAACGCATGTGAAGGGAATGTGTTCGTGTATCTTTGTCGAATCCAGACTAAAATAACGAATTCCTCAATTTTCCAATACATGTGAGTCTAGTACTAGTAGTGAATCATGTTTGGCCAAATATCAAAGCATACTATTCTTGTTAGGAATGCAATCAATGTGGAAAAGGCATCATTTAATTATAGTGATCATATATATTTGATGGTAGTTTGAAACTGGTGTTTGAATAGGTATTAGAGTAACAATTAGTATCCAAATGCGAGAATCTAATTAAATCTCTTCATTCCATGGTTCAAAAAGCACGATTAACCATACGCTTAGCACGTCTAGGCGCAAGGCAATAGCAAAAAAGCCTTGTCTAGTGGTTTTGCGCCTAATTAGATATCGGAACACGTCAATAGAGTAAAGCAACATCTAAGGGGTTTGTTTACTTTCATTTCTGTTTCCTGTTTTCGAGAAAACATATGTTGAAAACAGGTGAAAACAACATTTTGTCTTTTTCGAAAACAACAGGAAGTTGTCACTTTCTGTTTTTATAGTTGGAAACGAATAGAAAACAGAATGAAAAGTAAACAAGTTTTCTCGTTTCGGTTGCCAAATTTATGACATGAAAACTGGAAATAGGAAACGAAAATGGAAGTGAACATGGCATAAGTCTCTCCTAAACATTACTAGATGAATCTAGGAAGTCAATATTAGAGGAGAAAATTTACACCAACTACAAAATTAATTTTCTATATTAATATTTTCAATAGCTCAAGAACTTTGTGAGCTATTGCGCTATGATGCTATGAATTGTGAGCTATGTTCTTGTCATTAAATGTTGAGTAAGTTATTAATCATTTTAACTGAAGTAAGGAAGTGTCGTAGATTATTATTTCATTCATCATGTAGTGCGAATAGCTATTTTTCCTCCAACGCCTAGGCGAGCTAGGCGCTAGTTGAAGCCTCAACGCTCACCTTACGTCTCTAACTCCTTTTTGGACCTTGTTCATTGAAATATCCAACTAATTCAGTTTATTTAAATTCAATTTATTTTATCTAAATCCAATTGGATAGGTGGATTCTTTTTTTTTTTTTTGACAAAAGATAATCATATATTGATACCAAAAGAGATAGTTACATCCTGGAGAAGAGCCAGGCCTGAAAATTAAAAGCACGACTCATGGTCGGGTACAAGGAGAGGGCTTTCCTAGCCACCAAATGGGCTACCCTATTGTTACACCGACCTATAAACCGAACACTAAACCCTGGGTTGCTGGCACAAAGATTTAACACTTCCTCCAAAACCGCACCCATCCTGCGATCACGAGTGTCCCCATGGCTGATTTTGTCAATGACCACTTTCGCATCGCCTTCAAATCTGACAGAGAAGAAACCTTGTCCTAAACACCAAAGAATGGCTGCACGCAGCGTTAACAGCTCCACAACCGCAGGGTCGTCATATCCTGGGAAGGTAACACCACTAACCCGATGGATGTCTCCGGTGGGCGTCAAAAGCACCATTCCCCCAGCGGCATGCGACCCCCTTCTCGTAGCCCCATCCCACCGACAAACAAACTCACCAGGATTAACCAGGCGAGGCTCCAGCACTTCCATCACCCGATTAGCTTGATGGTCATTACCCGGTATCCGCGCCCATTCCTCAACCTGCTGCCAAAACTGCCGCATAAGAGCTGGGAGACCAAACTGCTTTCCCTCGAAAACAACCCAATTACGGGATTTCCAAATCCGCCATAAGACAGCAATAATGGCCATCCATTGCGAGGGCTGAGGGACCAAACCCAGCAACTTCTTAAGGAACAGGGGAAAATTATCACGGGGCAAACCCTCCCCTAAGTTTGATCCATGAATCTAAATGACAAATTATAGTTTAGTACCTATATTTTTATATTTTATATTTGGGTACCTAATTTTTTAATTATGGTTAATAAAAAATTTAGATTAAACTCCAGGTACGCTTTTAACTAAGGTACGCTTTTAACTAAGGGAACTCTCAAAGTGTACCAGATCATCACAAGAAAAAAAAACTCAACAACTGTAATAGCACCCTTACAATCTTTGTTAATCGGTAAGTTCCTGTTTACTATCTAAATCATCGAACTTCTAAACGAACTCTTGCTATCAGCTGAGCTGGCAACAACACTGAACCTTCATCATAACAACGCCTACATCGTTCTTTCTAGACGGACCTTAAATTAGTCACCCAAATCAAATTCCCAATCTACTTCAGCATACCAGAACCTTTCAAGATCTGCAACGCCTAGCTCAGCATTTCTGCCCAATCTTGACATGCAAGGGGAAAAGAAAAACCAGTCAAACAGTTTTGCAAAACAAATTGGGTATAGGGGCAAACAACGAAGAGGTGATCCCGGACAATAAACCATAACAATATGTTGTGCTTGGGAATCATATACTTCTGCCAGACCAAACCAGACCACGGGACAGGAGATAAGGAAGGTCTAATCGAACGCCAGAGTTTTGTAACAGAGTAGTGTGGCATAGATTGACCATCTCATTTCAAAGAAGGACCTGCACCAGTAATGAACATATGTGCCTCTTCATGAGACTTTAGAACTCTTTTCCAAACCCAAGACCCCACCGATGTAGGAGAAATCTCCCAGATTGTGCGAGTTTTGAGTCAATATTTCCGGATCCAGGCAATCCAAAGAGAACCACCCCCTACGAGGATGTCCCAAATATGCCTGATAACTAGGGGTATTCAAACGGTGTGGTTACCGTGGTAATCGCTTTAACCAGTAGTATTTGGCTAATTTGGTGATAATTGGTTTGGTTTGGTTAAAATGTTTAGCTTTCTTGGTTCCTGTGGTTTGGTTTCAGACACTGCTAACCAATCAAACCAAATTAACCAGATAAGTAATTATTCATATATCTAATATAAATTATATACACATACTTAATACTTGGCATAACTACTCAAGAGCCAAACATTCATTCCTTTTAGGCTCATCAACAATAAAGTTCAATATTGTTCCTATACTATATATTTGTATTTGTAAAGAGTAGACCATGATATATGAACGCCCCATTCAAATAAAACTCATATAATATATTAGGTGAAAATTTGAAAGGAATGTCTTTTCCAACCTATAATAATTTCTAAGAGACTAATCAAATTCACACAATCACAACAATTAATTAACTCCATACTGTTTACATATATTTTTGGGAAAAATACATCTGTATAGCCAAAAATTCCGCGTTCATAACAATAATAGCCAATTTTTTAGAAATACCACTTATAGCCGAATTTGTAGTTGTTGTATGACAAATCTAGCCATTTACGTTAAAGTATACTTTAACGGTGTCATCATGCTATATGCTGATTGGACTAACAATTTTTGCACCTGAATTTAAATGAAAATAACAAAAAAAAAAAAACCCGTGACCTCTTATCTTCCCTTCTCTCTCCACAAATGCCTTCTGAAAAAGCATTGTCTCTCTCCCACTCCCTCCGATCTTCCCCTCTCTTTTCCTCCGATCTTTCCCTCAAACCCATTATTGCTCCTCCAATCTTCTACCTCTATCTTCCCTCTAATCTTCCCCTCACACACGAAAATCATCTCACACTATCTGTTCACCTTCATCGAATTTGCCTCATACCCTTTAACATGGCAAAAGGAATAGCGACGAGGAGTCTCCTTCCTCCTCCTCTCGGCGACTGGCGGTGAAGCCTTCGTTCTCCTTCGTTCCTAGCTCGGTGGCTGGGCTCAACGACGGATGGAGAAGGGTGAGCAGTGCTTGGGTGGAGTAGAGATGGGAGGTGACTGAAATTATGGGGAGGGAAAATAGGGGAGGGGAGTTCCAGATCTAGGCTCGCGACAATTTGAAGATGCAGCGCCGCAACAATCAGCATCAACAGTAGCGTTTACCAGTTCTTAAATTCCCAAACCCATATCTGGGCGACGGGGGTCTGGTTTGGGTAGGTGATTAAGAATGATTTGCAGAGGGTCTGGAATTGATTTGTCGGCAACATAAAGAGCGGTGCAGGGGTCGAGAGTTTTAGGTGGGTATTCGTTTAGGGGGTACATGGGCTCAGCGGCGATCGTCGGAGAGGAGGGTATTGTGGCCGGGCAACCCCGAGAGCAAAGAGGGAAGTGGCGCCGGGGTCGCGGCTATAGGTGTCAAAACATAGCCCGACCCGATTAACCCGCCCGATCAACCCGACCCGCAACCCGACCGCAACCCGACCGCAACCCGAATTGACTAAAAGTCAACAACCCGTAACCCGCCCGACCTGCAACCCAACTAACCCGCAACCTGACTGACCCGCAACCCGATTAACCCGAACCCGATTGACCCGCAACCCGACTGACCCGCAACCCGATTAACCCGAACCCGATTAACCCGAACCTGACTAACCCGTAACCCGACCGACTCAACCCGAATTTCATATAATCCACTTGAATAATTATAAAAATATACAATACATAGTTTTTCAAAATAAAGTTTTTCATTCTAAACTTAAGTAAAATTATTTTTTTATTTCGTATAGGAAATTTAAAAAATATGAAACTCACTTGATATTACGTATTTTAAGAAAATTACAAAAATTGAAACATGAAGGTCACTTGAGATCATGACAATATTAATATAATATATAAATTAAAATTTTGGTTAATTTAACTATTGAATAAAATTATTAATTAAATATAAATAAAGTAAAGTAATGTATTTGGTAATTTGATGTTTTTAAATGAAGAGGGAAATTTTGGTGTATTCAAGTTTTTGGGAAGAGAAAGAAGAGGGAAATTTGGTTCTTTGAATTTTTTAGAAAAGAAACAAGTGGGAATTTTGGTGGTTTTGATATGTGGGAAGAGAAAGAAGTGGGAAAATTTGGTTCTTTTGATTATGAAAGAGAAATAAGGAGAGAAAATTTTGAGTTTTCAACTTTTTGTAGAATGAAAGAAGAGGGTAATTTGGTTCTTTCAATTTTATGGAAGAGAAAGAGGAGGGAAAATTGAGTTTTCTAATGTATGGAAGTAGAAAGGAGGGAAATTTTAGTATTTTTGTGAAAAGAAAGAAGGAAACAAATTTGGTGTTTTCAATTTTTTGGTTTTTCATAATTTTAGCTTTTGAAATATGAATCTTTAACTTTTATATGGAGGGCATGACTAGTTAAAATTATTCTTATATGCTTTGAAGGCTAACATATATATGTATATAATTGTTTATGAGCTAATAAATAAATTAACCATTAGTTACAACAATTTATACTAAACTTGATAAGTAATCTTTGACGGTTCGTTGTTTAGGATATAAAGTATATGGTTAGGGTATAGGGTATAAGGTACATATGGTTTATGGTGTATATGGTTAGGGTATAAGATATTGATGGTTTTGATGGTTCTAAGTTTTTTATTAACATATGTTCAATTGAAGTCATTTGAAATCTTTAACGGCAGGAGATCCCTTTTTAATTTATGTCTATGGTACGTGGTTAGGGTACAAGGTATGTGGTGTAAAATATAAGATATATGGTTAGGGTATAACAATTAGCAAATATCACTTTTTATCTATGTTTTGAAAATCAAAGTATGAATTTCACTTTTAATTAACTATACTAGCAAAATCACAACTCAAAGACATATGGTTAGGGTATAGGGTATAGGTTATGTGGTTAGTGTATAATGTATTGATGGTTTAGGTTGTACAATCAACAACATATACTAACTTAATATTGTTGATTGAGGGTAAGGCTAAGTGTATAGGATATATGCTATTGAGTAAGTTATGATTGAAGTAACAATAATTTTACTAAATTTGATAGCTAATCTTTAATAGTTCAATTTTTAGGATAATTCGAACAATTTTACAAATAACTCGTTTGGCAACAGTTTACTAAAGTTATTTGGGCAATGAGTTATTTCGAAATAACTCCTTTTATCACTATGATTTTGCCAAATACCACACACCAAATACCAGATTTGCATGGTTATACACTTATACTAAACGAGATACTTTAATCCAATTACTATTGAATTAATACTAAAATATCAAATAAACAATTAAGGTTGTCTTTTGGTTGCAAATATTGATATCACCATTACTATTAGCTATAATACTTTACCAATTATGATTAATTACATAACCGGGTTGTTTGGATGGGTGATTGTGTAATGAGTTATTTTTTGGTAAAAATAACTCACTTTCTAGTCATGTGGTATTTGAGTGGTATTTGTTGAAATTTGGTGCACAATTATGTTGTTTGGATGTACAAAAAGGTGAGTTATTATTTGTGTGGTATTTAGAAAGAAAAAAGTGTAAAAGACCCTAATGCCCCTAAATGATTGTGAGCCCATGTATATTTAATGGTAGATTTTGACTCCACAAAAGACCATTGCCCGCGGGAAACTATTCTTCCTCCTCCCTGCAAGTTTTTTCACAAAGTGTTCTTTAAGGGTCTTATAAAAAAAAGTGTTCTTTAAGGGCGTTGGTGATCTTCTCTGTCCTGCTTTCACGATTCACCCCGGCGATTCCCGTGTGAAGAGCAATGCAAGGTGTTCAAGGCGGCGACGTCGATCATGTAACTGTTGTTTAATCTTTGTTTAATTGGATTAACGGATTATGTAACTGAATCATCATATGTTGATTGTATGAAGAAAAACAAACAAGAAAGGCATAATTGCTTTTATCTGTTTCTTCATCCGCATGAGAAGTTGGTGAACATGATATATGTCAACCTGCATAAATCTAGAAATGACAAACCAGCATAAGTGAGTGTAAAACCAACATTATGTTACTGGATTTTCTTTGCATTCCACCTAATAAATACTTACAACATTGACTACTTCATTGGGTAATACTTACAAAAGGTAGTTTCACCTCTTTACAAAGGCGACTTATCATTCCAATTAGCCATTTACATCCGACTTAACCATTTAAACATGTGCACTTTACAAAAGCAGGTTGTCTTCCGTTTGCAAAGTCTGTCATTTAGAGTGCTTCTAAATGACAGATACAAAATACATCTTTGCAAACTAGACAACACATGATAACTTGATAAGATCCTAATCCTACCCAAGATACTATTATATACATTAGCATCTACAGTGGTGGGAGACTGAGCACAAGGGTTAGCCGGTCCTCGTCATCCATCTCATAGAAGCTCTTCAAGTCTGACGAATTTGCATTCAGATGCCTAAATCCCATCACCCTTTGAACTCTGGTTAGACCCTCTAGTTTGTCCAAATTTGCCCTCAGCTCCTTTCGCATATTATCATGTGCTTCGCTCTCGCCCATCGCTTTAGCGATTGTGTCCATGGATTGTTGGATGAGTGGCCTTAGTAACTGCATCTCACTCGCAAGTTCAGCTCCCCCGTCCTGACTTTTCTTCTTCTTCTTCTCAATCTGTCCACCAATAGTGGTTTTTGCTGCACGCTTGTTCTTGTTCTTGTTCAGATTCTTATCTTCTACCCCTTGATTTATTAAATCATACATTTCTTGTTCTGCTGCAGAAGTGCCTAGCTCGTCTAGAGGAATTGGATGGCCTTCATCGTCCTCCGAGCCACTGTCTTCACCTTCGGTTATGATCTCCGGGTCATTGCCTGCAAGTTTTCAGCCCATTCATGCATAATCAGTTAACATCTATTACACAAACCATAACCTAAGCTTGGAAGGTCTGTAGGAACCAACATCGCTTTAACAGACCTGAAAACCCGGAGAGTCCGGTGGCACGACCATTGGCAAACACCGGTGCAAGGTCAAAGAAATGAGGAAATGATGCGTCTCTGTAAGTCTTACATGTTGGGTTTTGCTGGAAACATCAACTTACATTGAATTCATATTTATGCATAATAAATAACTACACCAACCATTAATGCACAGTGAAAAAACGTGCTGCCAGCTACAGATGCAACTACTACACCCACAATAAATGTTTGGATCTTACATTACTGCCAACTACCATTGCAACTCCACCAGCCCTTTTTGCTTCGTGTAAAGATCAAAGTAGGAAAAGTAACATACCTCTAGAAACACATCCCATACCGCATTATCAGCACTAACACATTCCTTCTGCACATCCCAGCCAAACCCACTTTGATTGCGCATCAATACGGTTGAGTGATACCAGTGCTTTAGTTTCTTGTACCTGTTTTGAATGGTCGGTTTTGATTTAAGACCACAGTCGGGCACTTTCTTCTCCATCATCCGTTGGATCTCACGGAACACACCATTCTTGCAGTTTCCATTGGTGATCAGCCCTCTCTCTGTTAGATCCAACAAGCACTCAACGAACGGAGTGTCATGTGCAGCATTCCAAAAGTTGTACTCGGTTTTGACAGCTTCACCAACTGGAACCTTCTTTCTCCTCCCCATGACTGAAAATACATGGCAACAACCAGATTCATACAAGAACAGTAGTGGAATAATTTATGCAGCCTATTGGAAATACAAGATAACAAATATTGCAAACCAGATTCATAAAATTAAACCAATTAAGATATGTTCCTTACATCACAAACTGAAAATATTATACAGGAAGCTACTTCTAAGCATAACAGGTGCCTAAGCATTGACCAAAACAACTACAACCACTATTAATTAGGGTTGGAATATATATTCTTCTACATGGAAGTTTCCTTGCTTCAAAAACTAAAAAATTTACACAATAAGCTTCTTCCAAGCATAACAGTTGCCTAAGCACTAACCAAACAACTACAACCACCACTAATTAGGATTGGACTATCTATTTTCCCACATGGAAGTTGCCTTGTCATTGCGGAATTGAGTCCATGTAGCGCATGGGTGCATGCTGGTTCCATTAATGGTTTCCACCTCAGTTGGAGGCTGTTGTTCGGGCTCTTTGTCTCTATAGGTCCTCTCAATCTCGTCTACACCATGTTCCTTCTTGATAAAGTTGTGAATAATGCAGCAAGCTATTACTATTCGAGTGACCTCTTTAGGAGAAAACCATGTAGCATTTCTCAAAATAGCAAATCTCATCTTCAGAATGCCAAAAATGCGCTCAATAACATTCCGAGCAGATGCATGTTTCATGTTATAGTACTCCTCGGCAGTTTCAGGTTGCCTAGCACCCCATTCTTTAAGATGGTATCTTTGACCCCGATATGGGGTCAAAAACCCAGGGCTGTTGGCATACCCAGCATCACAGAGGTAATAATTTCCTTCATTGAAAGTATAGGTCTTTGGTTAGGGATTTTAATGTTGCCTAAGTAATTCTGACTTTTACAAAATTGCATGATGAATGTTGTACCTTCAGGCACAATAAGCCCATTTGGTCTAGTGAGAGCATCCCGGAGGACCCTACCGTCGTGGGCACTGCCCTCCCAACCAGCAAGAACATATATGAATTCCAGGTTGGGAGTGCAGACACCTAAGACATTCATGGTGAGCTCGCCCTTCCTATCTCGATATCTAGGTTTGTCCTCCGTCAAAGGCTGGACATCAATATGAGTTCCATCTAGAGCTCCTAAACACTTCTACTAACATAAAAGAAATGTGTTAAGGAAAAAAGTCAAAACATATTATATGAATTGAAAATTTTGATTACAAAGGATGAATTTTAACCTTAAAATGCTTCCACCTACTGTTGGTTTCATTTTCAGGGATAGGAACCGGCTTCTTCATGAACTGATTGTTAAGTCTAATCACGGCCTTCAACACACGGTGAATTGACCGATGTATAGTCTCGCCTGATCGTCGCAAATTGACTTGCAACGTCCTATTCTTCTCATTATGTGAAATAGTTCGAAGGAAGACATAAACCATCTCATCAACGTCTACGTTCCTAGTTTTCTTCAACCCCCCTTGCATGGTAAGAACCTCACAAAACCTTCTAAATAAAGTACGATTCATCCGGATTTGGCCAAAACAATAGGTGTCACTTAATCTGGTTGTATTTCTGAGGTGCCTTTGCCTATCATAGTGCCTGACCGAGTAGGTGTCTAAGGGTTGCCTAGCAAGTCTTCGATTAGAGTATCGTTTATCTAATATTTTAGCCAATTCCATTCCTAGACATACATAAATCATAATCAGATTCATGAAGGAGCCAATTGCAGCAACAACTTGGCGCCTACGAGTTGGATTCAATGTTGACAAACGTGACATCCTTTGCAAGACAAGAAAAATGAATGATCAGTTCAGTTTACATACCACTGGTTAAATTATTTGTCAAGGTTAACTGACTACTACCCTTGTAAAGTATTACCAACTGCTACTACCCTACTAACACACCACTAAACCAACAACATGCTTAGGGGATTGCAAACTCCTAGATATCTACACAAACAAAAAAAGTAGCATATATAAACAACGAATGGTAATCAACTTCTGCTTCCTCCATCTTTATATAATAAACAAGTTATACCCAGAACAAAAACAGGATAAAAAGCACAAAAACCCTTTTTCGTTGAAAATAACATGAACCTTCGGTGATTACCCATGAGACTTTTACTGGACAACATCCAACCAAATAATACAACCAATTAACAGAGAAATAAAAGTTAGGTAGCATGTATTACCAGCAGAAGCTCAAACAAGCATAGAGGAATCAACGATTGCAGGCGAGATTGGAATAAAACCCTAATAAACAAATCAATGACGTCGGGATAGAGACGATGACTCACAAACCTCACAAGTTGTTGTAACTTCGATAGAGATAGCCGCTTCGTTTGACTACCAAGCAGACGACGCTGGAGATCGTCGATTCGTCCCGTTCGCGAGCTGCAAAGCTATTGTAGCAGCAAAATGAAAAAGGTTCTGAGAAGAAAGAGAACGCAGTAGAAGGAATAAAGGGCTTGGGATTGTAGCAGCAAAATGAAAAAGGTTATGAGAAGAAAGAGAAGAAAGAGAACGCAGCAGAAGGAATAAAGGGCTTGGTCTCGATATCTGGTCGTGGGGTCAGGGACACGTTGGGGATAAAAAAAGTGCCAAAACGAGTTATTGTCAAATAACTGCCCCCCCACCAGGTATTCTCTTTACCGCGTTTTTGCGGTATTCTGAATTAACTCACTAAATAATAACCCAGCCCACATCATTTCAGCCAACCAAGTTATTTTAGCCCAAATTACTCAAAATGAGTTATTTGAGCACAAATAACTCAATACAATCACCCATCCAAACAACCCCAACAAGTTTGCAAGTCATACAAATTGATTTAACATTTTGACTAATTTTTTTCAAAAAAATAAAGTATATATATACGAGGTAGAAATAAATTGGTTAAAAAGTTGAGAAAATATTTTAAATTAGTGTAATAAAATGTGTAAGTTGGTAATGAGTAATGAGTTAAGTTACTTTATGCGCTGGCCCGAACAACCCGAAACCCGATCCGCCCGCAACCCGCCCGACCCAAAACCTGATGAACCCGCAACCCGATTGAACCCGAACCCGATGAACCCGCAACCCGACTAACCCGTAACCCGTTTGAACCCGAACCCGATGAACCCGCAACCCGATGAACCCGCAACCCGACTAACCCGCAACCCGTTTGAACCCGAACCCGATTGAACACAGCCCGAACCCGCCCGATTGACACCTATAGTCGCGGCGTGGTTTGGAAAATTAGGGATGTGAAGAGAGAGAAGGTGAAAGTGAAAAGGGAGGGATGGGTGGAGACTTAACAATTCCTTTTTATTTTTTATTTTATTTTTTAAAATTAATCCAGCGTGGAATTGTCAGGGGAGAAACTCGCCAACTCAGCCTTTTCGTTTGTCTAGTAAGCCTATTAGCTAACACAATTGAAGAATTGGATGAAAGTGGTTATAAGTGGTATTTCTCCAAAGTTGGATATAATTGGCAAAAACGCGAAAATTTTGGCTATACAAGTGTATTTTGCCATATTTTTGTTATGTGAATACTTCTATGGACTGTAAGATAATTGTATTAGTTGCATGTATTTCTGTAAGGATTAACTATAACTATGTGTTTATTGTAATATTTTATTGGCAAAATACACTTGTGTAGCCAAAACTTTGACGGTTTAGCCAAATATAGCCACTTTTGGTGAAATACCAAAAATAGCCACTTCCGTCCAATTCTTTGACGGTGTGAGTTAACGGACTGACTGGACTAACAACAACAGTTGACGTGACATATTTTATTAAAATAAAATATTAGGCGGAAATAATCAAAATTCTATCCTTTTATTTTAATCAAATTAAATAAAAAAAATCATAAAAACAATAAAACCTTCACCACCACCGCGGCACCGCCTGTTTAACATCTACCCTCAACAGAAATTCCTTAGAAGCAAAAAAAAAATGCCATCTCTTCTCCTGCGAGACATAGTGGGTAGCGGAGTGGTGGCACGGACGAGCATCTCCCAACCCTAGAAATAAAAAAACCCCATCTCTTCTCCTCCTGTTCACCTTCTACCCTCGTAGTTAAAGCTGCTAGTTCTGGTTTGAGAGAATTCAAAACTGAACAAGAGGATCTGTCGAACGGGATCGCGGCGGCTGGGGAAGAGGAAGAAGGAGAAGCTCGAGAGCCGGGAAGACCAGGAGGCGCTCAATCATGTTGTTGAGGCAGAGCAGCAAGCACCAGACTTCCTCTTTGAAAAATCACAGATCCATAAATTGAAACCGTAATGCCGTTATCGATCTATCGCGTGCTCCAACAACGGTATTGGCTCCACGATTTCTTCAATCTGCTCTCCATCGTTGGCTTTTTGGACGCGAACAAAGATAGAGCAAAGAGGAACAAAGAGGGTTCGAGTAACCCCCAGGTCGATTTCTTACGATGACTGGGGCTGTTCTAGATCTGTGAAACTGGAAGCGGCTAGCGGCGACATCGGAAGGCGTTAGAGGAAGGTGATTCGTCGGAGGCGACGCGTACGTAGGGGCGACGGTGGGGAAGCAATTAGCGGCGGCGGAAAGCAGAAGAGGAAGGTGTTTCATCGGAGTCGACGGCGTCTCTAGCGTCTCTTGGCTACCCAGAGATCCCATCTTGTATGCTTAGTTTTGCTCGTTTACCCATAAATCCCTTCTTCCCCCATTGCTTCGACGAGAAATTTGAGACTCCCGAGACTCGACGAGCGCCAGATTTTATTCAATCGGGGGGAGAGATGCTTGATGGCGGCGAGGATCGACTGATGGCGGCGAGGATTTGGGATAGAGTAGAGTCTTCTTCTCTATTTCTTCACTCGACCATCTCCATCTCTGGTGAGAAATGAAGAGAAAGGGTCTTGGATTTCAGATTTTTGGTAAACGACAATAATGGTGCACGGTGAGCACCGGCGCGATTTTTATTATTGTATTTCTGGTAAACGACAGTAATGAAGGGAAGAATTAATTATTGTATTATTATGATTTTTTTATTTGTGATTTTTTATTTAATTTTAAAATTAAAGACCTGCGCCGGCCACAGTTCGTCTTTGCTTCCTTTCTTCTGCATCCTCTGATGGCTACCTCCGAGCGACTGCCCACGGGTGAGGCTCAAGGTGTTCCGATGAAGCCCTGGCGGATTTGTTTGGCATCTCCGAGGCCAATCGACTCACCTACATCAAACCAGATATCTACAAAGGAGGTCTCCGAATGCCTCAAATTGTATGCGAGGAAGGCTCCATTCGTTGGAAACACAGCCTAGTGGGGCAATTTTTGCATCCGATGCCAGAGCTGCCGATCCTTCGTCGGTGGGCGAACAGAATCTGGGGGCGCGATGGTTTTGTTCGGGTCTCTTTGCTGGGCGATAGTCTCTTATTAATACAATTACCGTCGCAGGCAACGTGTGATTGGATACTGGAAAGTGGTCCTTGGTTCTACCTGGATAATCTTCTCTATCTGCGTCCTTGGGCACTAGGGATCGATGTTGAGGATATGGGGCACAAGGCTCTCCCGATTTGGGTGAGATTCTCTAATCTTCCGCTTGAATATGTCAACTATCAGGGGCTTAGCAGAGCAGCTAGCTGGCTAGGGGTTCCGCTGGGTGTTGATCAGACCACTCGGTTGGGGGGGAGGCTCGGGTATGCTAAGATCTTGTGGAACTGAGGGCTGATGGTGAGTTTCCAGATCATGTGACTATATGGCAGGATGATGAAACTTCTGTCAAGGTGGGTGTGAGCTATGCTCATCTTCCGCCGGTGTGCAAGGCGTGTGGTCTTTTTGGAGTGTGTGATTGCCATAAGCAGGTCTGGGTTCGGAAGGAAATGGAGACTGGGCAGAATAGGGATGTTATACAGGTGAATCAGAGTGATATACAGGTGGATCAGGGTGGTAATAGATTAAACAAGGGAAAGGAGGTGGCAGTGTGTCCCCTAGTTGCTACTGAAGTTCCTCAAGGATCGGGGGGGTTTTTGATTGGGACCAATGTGGTGGGATTTTGTGAGAGCTGGGCTAGGGCTTCTAAGACAGCTACTTCACACTTGCAGGGGGTTAACCTTGAGAAATGCTTTGCTGCGGTGGAGTGTACTTCTCCAGGATTGCCCTCTAAGGCTGAATTCCAGCAGGTTGTTAATGGAGCCAAGCCTCGCATTTGGTCACCCCATCCCAGCCCAACAAGTGTGCTTCAGGTATCACATTCTTATGACTTATTAAGAAACTTGAAAGAGGGTGAGGTAGTTACTTTGCAAGCAGCGCCCAGGAAAGGTGGAAAGAAGGGAGGGCCTTTGCCCTCTTCTCCCAAATGATTTTCCTGTTCCAGAATGTTAGAGGGTTTAACAAACCCTCTAAGCGTAGGGACTTGTTTTCAGTCCTTAGGCAAAATAAAGTAGATGTAGTTGCTGTACTAGAAACCAGAGTGAAGAAGGACAAAGCGGTTGAGATTTCTGAGGGGTTTTGTCCTGGGTGGAAGAGGCATTTGAACTATGTAGATAGTGGTTTGGGGCGTGTGTGGTTATTTTGGAATCCTGACAGTATAGA